GGCCTGGGGGGGGAAAGCCCCCCCCCGCGCCGCCAGAGGCGGCAACAGTGGGGGAGGCACCCCACACTAGCTGCGCCCCGGCGGCGGCATTTCCATTCAGACGGCGCTGAGGGCGCCCGGTGTATTGTGGGACTGGGCTGGGAGTCCCGTTCGCGGGAGGAGGCGGAGGGAGGGTGAGGAGCAAGCTGGTAAGAGGGAGACCGGGGGAGGGGGGCAGGCGGGGAGATTTAAAGGGGAATTCGCCTCCGCTGTTAAACACCCAGCCCTGCGCCGGGCTGCGGCCTCCGAGCACTGCAGCGGCTGGTCGGGGCGCACGGGGCATGCTTGGCCCCAGCCCCAGAGCCTGGCCGCAGGGGAGGCGGGGGAAGGGGATGCGAAGCACCGCCGGGGCCGCTTTAAAAAACTCCCCGCGCCGAGGCCAACTTACATCCAAATTCAGCTTAGAATACCAGTTCCGACTTACATACAAATTCAACTTAAGAACAAACTTACAGTCCCAATTTTGTACAGAAGTGCCTGTAATTCTTTTCTGTTTGGTCCTTTGTGTTGAAGAGCCCTTTAAGTTTTAATAATTTTAAGCACTGTAAGCAAAATGGGAGGAATTTCAAACATTTTTATTTTGACTGTATCACTTAAACCATCCTTCCCTCTTCACAAGGGTGGGAATGTGCCACAATGAGTTTATGTAGGTTCGCCAACTTTACGAAAAACCCCAAGAGGAGTCAAGTCAGAAACAAGGTATTTTTTAATAGATCAAGTTTGACCTAAATGGAAGACAATGGTATTTAGGCTCCTTTCCGTGAGGTTTAAGGCACTGAACAGATGTGGGAAATTGTAGGCAAACTAATGAGACACACAAACCAGCCACTGTGGTGTCTAAATCACAGCCTGTAGCTCCTTCAGTAACAAAGGTCCAGCATGAGGACAGCAATTCTAGGTATCTCAATGTGGGTACAGCTATGCAATCATCCTATTAAAGTTTGTGAGAATCACAAGGTATTGTTTTTCTGAAATCATTAGGCAAAAAGCCATGTTCCACTGCAGTGCTGGAATAAAAAGGGAGTGACAAGTGGCTAATGAAGAGCACTGGTACAACTGTTTGCATAAAGAAAGGTCTTAGATTCCATGCCTGTTTCTCTACCAGTGCACCTAATGCCATTCATCCTCTAATTCATTAGAACTAAATTCATTTGCAAGGTTTGGAAAAAATACATGCCCTCTCTTCCCCCAATACCACAATTTGATGACTAAGAGGGAAAGTAAAGTGGGAACATTCTTTTATTAAGAAAAAACTAAATTTGGTTCCTTACCTATCCCTTTTAAGACATCTGAAAACACAGTGAGTCACCAACTTTAACAGCATAATTTGGAACATGCTCAATCAATTGACTTAATCAGCATGGATTACACTTTTTTTAGGAAACAGTAAAGGATATGCAATAAGGATGCTAGTTAGGTTACGTCTTCCAACTGTGGGGGTGATCCAAGTTCCGGAGTTTAATACAAGTCTAGTTAAGACCAAAGCTCTCTGTGCAACTGTTTTCTGAGCCCCACTCAGAGGTTCAGAGCTCCCCCAAGGGCACAGGGAGCTCAGCTGATTGGCAGGGGGAGGGGCATCTTGCTAAGCAGCAGCTTCAAACGGGAGCTGCTGCATGCTTTCCAGTGTCAGTAAATATTGTATTAGTCATGCTTTCCTTGCAAATACTATTTCTAGTTGACTCAAATTTGTTTAGCATTTCAAAGCTGAGCTATGTGTGGATAATACGCATTTTGGTATGTTTACTAGCTTGAACTGTTAGAAAGGATGATGATACATATACTACAAGGGTAATGTTAATTCTCTTTTTTATTTGATTTTATATTAAATATCATAAGCATTGCTCCTTGTTAACTATCCCTTTTTTAATGTTTTCTTCTACACATATGGGCTGCTTAATAATATATATACACACACACACACTCTGTATCTATAAAAAAGTTTTTCCTATGGGATGACAGAGTTACATCATCATGTCACTCTGCATCCTATAGGAACATGCCTCCCCAGCCAGGCCCTTCCCAGGGCCCATGTGGAGTACTGGGGATGCTTACGGCCCCAGCTCTCCTGCTCTCCTCCAGGGAATGAACGGAAAAGCTGGGCCTAGGGTATGCCGCTTGGGATCTGCCACACCTCTCTGTGGCATCCTCCCTGGGGGAAAGCCAGGCTGGAATGGCTCGGGACTGATCCCTTCTCGATGCACTTGGGAAAAGTCAGGCTTGGCCTCTCCTGGTGCATGGGGGGGAAAACCAGGTCCAGGAGTTGCACCTGGCACATGCCCCAGCCCGGCCTGGCCTGCCCACTGGGATTAGAACTGGGCCTGGCGCACACCACTGCCTAGCCACTGTAGTTAAGGTTAGGCCGTAGGGATAGGGGTGGGGATGGAGGAGGGGGCCTTGGCTGGCAGAGGAAAGAGGAGGCCCAGGCTAGCGGGAGGGGAGGAGGAAGTGGGAGAAGGGGGGACCTTGCTGGTGGAAGGGGGGGGTGGAGAAAGAAGGGGAGCCAGGCTGG